AGCAAGGGACAATCTCGAAAATTGGAGTTTCGAGAGATACATCTCCTCAAAGGGGTAACCATCCCTCGAGCACCATACTACTACTCAAAGTGTTAGAGAAGATGTATCTTGACTTTTATCTACTCAACTACTACCTTTTTGGAATCGAAGTAACACCTTCTCGAATAATTGATTTATCTCGAGATCGATGTACTTCTCAAACCTTATCATTATTATATACTTCTCGAACATATGTTCATATATCACTGACATCATAATTCTTGTTATATACATATTACTTATATCATATGACAATATCTTTTTGATACATACATCATATTATTGCATATTAACGAAAGACCCGCTAGACGGGCACCGGTTTTAAATAAGACCTACTAGATGGGTACAGCCACAAGACCTGCACGACAGGCACTATAGGCTTCTCACCTTCAAATAAGAGAATACAGGCTTCTCATCTTCAAATAAGATAATGTAGGCTTCTCACCTTCAAATAAGAGAATCTAGGCACCATCCTCCTAATTCGGCATACACATGCTCTCCCCTGCCAATCCGGAACTTATTAACACAAAGACCTCCTTGAGACATTCTATTCTCTTTATCTTTCTATAGGTGACACCCGAGAACTGGGGCAACACAACGAGAAGACATCAACACTCATAGCGACCCATATCCTTCTCACCAAGTCTCGAGAATATGGCTTGATAGGGGCACTTGACGAGTCCAAAATAAACCCTAGGCCTATTGGGCCTAGGATTGGATTACTTGGAAATTAAGCCACCACCTAAACCTATTCCGCTAGGGTTTCAGGAAACAGGTAACACCACCTTTATATAAAAAGGTGATGCATCTGTCATATTTCATAACTTCTACCTATCTTCTACCTCTCTTCTTCACACGCACACAACCTCTCTCTCTATTCTCTTATATACTTAAGCATCGGAGAGTCTACCCTCGGGAGACCCCCGAGGCTCTGACTTGCAGGTTTTAGGTCGTCCATCGCCTCCTAGATCATCATCGCCGCCCGTCCTAAGGCACCGTGCAGATCCATGCTTCATCATTCACATTAAAAGTTACAGAATTGCATTTTATATCGTTAATATTTTTTTTTATTTTACATATATCACTCTGTCGGAAATGTTATACAATTGTTAAATCATTAAACTCATATATATCTTAAACAACCCGCACAACGTGCGGGATAAACACTAGTATATATTAAAGCAGAGTTCTTAATCGACACGTGTCGCCCAGGAAGCAAGTTTAGCTGATTGTACCACGTGTCGTTGCCAAAATTTTCCTTCATTAAACAGTTAAAATTTTATTACTAATACTAATACGTAAAATTGTTAAATTGAATTAATTAATAAATCAAAAGTTAATTTCGGAAAAGTAAATATCACGGGTTTGGTAAATATTGACAAATATATGGCATAATGAAAACATTAATTATTAACTTAATAGTTGTATTAAGAATACAGTTTGACACTTAGTCTGGATACATTAAATGTAAGTTAATATAATTTTTTAGATGATTTTGTTTGATATATTTTCCAAAAATTAAAAGATATTAGTTACCAAAAAAAAATTGTTACGAATAACTATATTACAAATACAATTCAAAACCAAGTCTTCTTACAGTAAACTTATGTTAATATTACTTCTTAGATGATTGGTATATTTTTCATAAATAAAAAGGGACTACTTACGAAAACAAAGAATTATTTACCAAATAATTAAACGAATACAATTCGGAACTAAGTTTGATTACCTTAAATATAGATTAATAATATTTTTCTGATGATTCTATTTGATATCCTTTTGAAGAATAAAGATATATTAGTTACCAAAAATATATATATATATACCAAATAATTATACTACGAATACAACTCGAAACTAAGTCTGGATAAATTAAATGTAGGTTCATAAATTTTCAGATTGTTCCATTTGATATATTTTTCAAAAATAAAAATAGATTAGTTACTAAATAATTATACTACAAATACAATTTGTATCCAAGTCTATATACATTTAATATATTTTAAAAAATAATAAATAAAAAAGAAAAGAAAAAAAAAAGGTTTGGCCTGACTCTTAGGGAGAAAGGCCACGACCAAGAAGATGCAAGGAAGAGATAAAAAAGCTTTAAGGGAGTCAAGAACTGATTCGTGAGCTTTAGGTTTGAAATATTCATCCAAATAGGTGAAGGCAAAGGTCACAATGAATGTTGTTTACAAGAAAGCTTTACATAATGTCATGTAGAGAAAGGGTTATGATTTCAGATGTTTCAAATTTAAATGTTTTCAGTTTTGTAACTTTATGTTTTGAATTTTTTAAATTAGTTTTATGCTACAGTTCTTCATCATACAGCTTTATTTCACATATATATTCTACATATTATTTTCAACACATAAATAATTTAAATTATTGTTATTCATTTACGATATGCAAAACAGCAGAGCATGCAACACATTTAAATTTCCATATATGCACAATCTGGTTTGAAAAAATTACCTGTAATAATTAAACAACTGTTAATGGTCCCTTTTGCATGCCATTCATTGTTCCACCATGTTTTGTTAATTATAAAAAAAATTATATATATATATATATTTCCATCAAATGCTTATTCAAATATAATACATATCTATCTGAACTTGCATAAATTATCGATTTAGTTTGAAGGAACTATCTCACCTTAGCTGGACTATATGTTTCCTAAACTCAGTGGCTGTCCAAATATTAGCAAATAGACATATTCAAAGGTCGTATCATATCAATTTCCAGCTCCAACACCCAAAATATGAAAAATCTGACACAAAAAAACAAACACAAAATTACATTGAAATACATCGTACGAATTTATATACAGTCCTTTTTGTATATTTGATTCTACCAAACCTCATATGGAATTAATTTTAAACTTAATTATTAAATTCATTAAAAAAATGCCCAAATCAGTTATTGAGAAAGTGCAGATATACTATTCAAACTCCTTCAGAAAAATAAGAAATGGAAGAAGGTACATTATCGTATAGATCTGAAACTGCTTAAAAGGCATAAGGAGTTGAATGAAGAATTCATATTTGTTGTTGTCGAAACTCAATTTCTAGCTCAAATGAAGATTTCCCTCTGACTTTACAAACCTCCATGTACTTATGTTTAATTGGAGATAGAAAAATAGACTTAATCCCATAGGATTAACAATCAGGATTTTATCCCCATTTCAAAACCGTTTTGACTCCCACATTCGTCGTATATATCATTCGCCCATAAAATCTTGCTTCAATCAGAAATTTGAAATCAGAAAGAGGGATGGAAAAATCTGTTTGAAACGATGTGTACAGAAGTTTCTGGTGCGGTCTTGCCGGATGTGTACTTTCCGTTTATAAAGAAGTTTCTCATAAATATAAACGCCCAGAATTTTTTGTTTGTTTTTTTTAATACAGTGGTAACATAAAACTTGGACTACTGGCCCACCGTATGAGGTCCGATTGGGCTATTAAAAAATAAGCTTATTAAAAGCTTGGGCCTGGTACCCGGGCTGATTTAAACAATTGGACATACAACAAAGACAACACAGTTTTTAATATAGTATTTGTTAATCATCGTCCAATGTATAAAACGATATATTGTCCCATTTTTTAATAAACAGCAATATTAAATCTCAAAAATTATTTTATGACCATAAAACTATCAAGTTTAAACAATATATAACAATTTAAATAATGGTATTATACCGGTACAAATTTTTACAAATTTGATTAACCAATTTAAAAAAGCGGGGTGTCCAGGCCAAGCATCTAGTATCAAGTTATAAACTTTCTTTTCCTGAATACCGGAAATTAATGTGTGAATTTGCAATGTTAAAAATTTTATCATTCGTCCCAAATAGAGAGAATCATGCTTATTATAATATTTTAATTTGATAAAATAAAACTTTTTCTTTAAATGGAAGGAGAGAATTAAACTGACAAATTAATTTGGCAAAGACTTCATTACTAAAACAATATTGTATTCACCACAAATTCATCCATATGATCTTTATTTTCACCTGAAACATATGAGTTTTGTTATTACTACATTTATCTCCGATCGTTGTGCGGTTTAAAATGGATTATTAAAATGACTCCTAAAAGTAGTCCAAAATAAAAGGCATATAATTATAAAACAAATGCATATAATGTAAGAATAAAAGTTGATGATGATCAAATTGGTCAACTTAGTTGATTCTCTATGAAGACAAAAATGAATATTTTGGGGGAACTTTTGGTGCAATTTTTATAAGTTGATTAAATGTACATGTATTTCCATGTTTTTGAATTTTATAGGCAAGAATAAAAATTCTAAAACTATCTTAAATTATACTTAATGTGCAATTCTAAACAATTTTATTATGTATTTAGTTTTCCGGCAAAAAGAAAAACTTAATAAAATATATCTAGAGTATTCCAGCAAAAGTAATCCTAACTAATAACATCTATTCAGATATTCTAACGAAACTATTATTAATCAATTGTAATAACAGAATCTGTACTAAAATATTTTTCACATAAATAAAGAAATTAAACTGAAGTCATGATAATTAGGATTTTCATTTTTACGAATAGTTGTGTGAATAAAATTAACAAATGATACTTGTTTGAAATATTCGTGGTCAGAATCCGTTTTTTTTTTTATTGTGTCAATAGTTGTCTTGATTAATGTCAACATATCATGAAATATAATAAATAATGTTGACATTCAAGTATGGTTACAAAATTAATTTAACTTAGTTATAATTATTTTTTTACACTTCTAATAGTGTTACGATATCCTATTAAGAGAAGCAATGGTATTGCATCAACCGTCCCGAAACCAAATCAGGGAGGGAAAAGGGTGAAAAACCCCTCTATATAAATGCAACCCTCTGCCTCACATCGGTTCATCATAACAATTCGTAAAACCCATACGTTTGTCAAATATCGAATCAGGAAAGAGTGTGAATTAATTAATTGACAATGTTGGAACAGATAATGATTTTCACCAGAGGGGGTTTGATCCTCTGGACATTTAAGGAGCTTGGAATAGCTCTGAAAGGATCACCTTTTGATACCCTAATCAAGTGTTGTCTGTTGGGGGACCAATCAGGTGCTTCATCGTACAATTACGACGTACCATCTGGGCCTTCCTACACTCTCAAATGGACATTCAACAACGATCTAGGGCTCGTGTTTGCCGCGGTTTATCCGCGGATTCTCCGTCTCTTGTACGTGGATGATTTGCTGGAGATGCTTAAGCAAGAGTTTTCCAAAGTGTATGAACCGAAACGAATGGTGTACAATGATTTTGATGATATCTTTCAACAGCTTAAGAAAGAATCCGAGGATCGCGCCGAGAAAGCCAGGAAACCTAAGCAGCCTGCGCAGGTTGGGGCCGGCATAGGTAATGTGGGTATTGGTAAGGGTGTTGGAGCTGCTACTGATGAAGGTAAACAAAAAAAGAGTGATGAAGAGGATAAGGATGGTAAGAAATCTAAACTTAATGCACTCGTAGACGGGCGTTCCAATGGCGATCTTGCCGCGAAAGTGGAAGTAGATGCTAATGGTGATGGAAATCGGAGTTCAAGTACTATGGCTTTTGACAGAGATAGGCTGAAGAAGCTGCGAGGAGGAGGAGGCAAAGCTGCGAAGAGAGTTCCAAAGTATCCCAAGGAGGCCCTCAAGAAAGCGCCGAGAGTTTGGAATGATTCGCAGCCGCTTTCACAAAAAGAGTTGGATTTTTCTACTGATCATGATCCTGTGAGTGAAAATGTTCCTGCTTTCCATATGGATCATGGCGGCGAGAGTATGATGGACAAGGAGGAAATTGAAGCAGAGGAAACAGAGAAGGATTCTAAGACTACTGAGACAAAGAAGAATAGTGGGTGGTTCTCAACCATGTTTAATTTCGTCGTTGGAAAGGCGAGTCTAGATAAGGCGGATCTTGAACCTGCTTTGAAGGCTCTAAAAGATAGGCTGATTGCCAAGAATGTGGCTCAAGAAATAGCTGACAAAATCTGCGACTCTGTCGCAGCAAGCCTCGAGGGTAAAACTCTGGCCTCGTTTAATCGAATCTCCTCCACTGTGGAGGCCGCGATGGAAGAGGCGATTGTTCGTGTTTTAACTCCAAGAAGGTCGATTGACATTTTGAGGGATGTTTATGCTGCAAAGGATCAAGGGAAACCGTACGTGATGGCTTTTGTTGGTGTCAATGGAGTTGGAAAATCTACTAACTTAGCTAAGGTCGCTTACTGGCTACAACAACACAATGTGCGCGTAATGATCGCAGCTTGCGATACTTTTCGCGCAGGAGCGGTCGAGCAGCTTCGCATACACGCGTGCAAACTCCAGATTCCGATATTTGAGAAGGGGTACGAGAAAGATCCTGCGGTCGTGGCGAAGGAAGCGATACGAGAGGCCACCCGAAATGGTTCGGACGTGGTACTGGTTGACACTGCGGGACGGATGCAGAATAATGAACCGCTGATGCGCGCGCTCTCGAAGCTGGTTTACGTCAATAACCCAGACTTGATACTGTTTGTTGGTGAAGCCTTAGTTGGTAATGATGGTGTGGATCAGTTGTCAAAGTTTAGTCAGAAACTCGGGGAGCTTTCGCCTTCGCGTGATAATCCCCGGTTGATTGACGGAATTCTGCTCACAAAGTTTGATGCCATTGATGACAAGGTTGGAGCTGCACTTTCTATGACATACGTATCTGGAGCACCCATTATGTTTATTGGATGTGGGCAATCCTACGCAAATTTGAAGAAGCTGAATGCCAAGTCCATAGTGAAGTCTTTACTCAAGTGATGAAGAAGAAAGGGTACTTAATTTGTGTTTCTTTTTCTCCTCCCAACTTTTTTGATGTACTAGTGATTTAAATCTCACCATTATGCCATGAAAACTAACTCATTTATTAATTATTATGTCGCAATTTTGCATTCAATTGTTTCTCTTCCTGACTAAAAAATGTCTAACAGTGAATCTAATATAAATGCTCTACCTCAATTACGTTTATGTGCTCCTGATTTTTGTGGGTATATTATGAAACAGAAGCATATAGATTGGTTACACAAGACAGTAATAAGAGGCTACCCGGATGGAAATCAGTCTGCCTGTAGATTTCTTCAAATTCCTCCTCATCAAAGTTCATGTTTTTCCGCAATGGATTCCACCAGCTAACTTCGATTTTTCTAAATTTTGGAACTTTTAAGAATTTACTATTATTAGTTGCATAGGTAATCTATATATATATATATATATATATATATATATTTAAATGAGAGTTTTCAATCGAACACATGGCATAAAATTAGACATGCTAATCCACATTGCAAAATATTAGATAGTCAAGTCCACATGTCGCAACCACATCATTCCAAGATATAAAATTAGTTATTTTCCTTGATTGTGAAAATCGGTAAAAATTAAGAGTTCAACGGAAAGAAAATGTAAATAGTTAGTTACCAAACTTAAAATATATATATATATATATATATATTTGGAAAATTAGGGAACAAAAACTTTTTTTTACGCCGAATCCAAAAAAAAAACTAGAATTGTATTCAAACTCTAATTCACTTGTGATTCGGCCATCATAGGCGACATAAGTTTTTCCCCCTATTTCACGGCGGACACATTTTCGTCTTTGGCATTACTTATTAGTTTCAAATGTAAAATAATTATAATAATTTAATTGAGAACAAAAAAAAAATCGAATCAAGCATCTTCTCTAAAAATAATTTTTTTTCTTATTACTTGATAATTGTCAAGATTGACCAAAAATAATTTTTTTTGACAATTTCTTAAAAACCAATTTATCCTTAAGCGGTAAATTTTAATAGTAAAAAAAAGGTGATTAAAAAAAACTTCAAACTAATAAAACTAAAGATAACCGATTGAAATAAAAAAAATCAACAAATTAATATGATGTAAAAAAATGACTGCCATGATGAGAAAAACTAATTTACAGAATATTAATTTCTATTGTTATGTGTTAAAGTGTAACCATTAACTGGATTTTTTTTTATTGGTTGGTGTATTTGTTTTTATTTTAGTTGGTGGTACTTTGATTGTAAATTTTTTTTAATGATAACATATTTTTTGCCCCTTAAAGGGCAATACTAATTATATGATTAATGTTGATTATGTTGTGTAAAAATTACAAAAAGCAAATATTAAAATAATAAAAATACTGATTATGATTAATGTTGATTACATATAATATAGTATGTTATAAATTTATATAATAAATGATTACCAAAAAATTAATATAATAATATAACATATTTATTATATTTTTTTTCATATGATATAATGGTAGAAAAAGTGAACGTTATGATGATAAAATAAAACATAGAGATCAATAGGGAGAAAGTTTTCTGAAATGAGAAAAAGAATAAAGGTTTTTGTGGGAGATAAACAGTAGAAAAAAAGTATATTGAGAAAATGAAAAATAATTATATGAGGAGAAAAATATGTAGTGAATAAGAAATTAAATAGTTATTACAAATTTTTAAAGCTTTAAAGAGAGGTCATCAAAATTAGGGGAAAAAAAGTGAAGACTATGCAACCAAAAAAAAAAAAAGCAGACACTACATTATAGTTAAAATATACAGACAAATTTCTAAAGAAAGGTTAGAAAAGTTATATATAGACATATGAAAGATAAAGATAAGTTTATGGAAAGAAATAATGAGAAATATTATACATAGTGAAAAATAAAATAATTATTACAAATTTTTCAATAAATAAACCTTTAAAGAGAGGACATCAAACTTAGAGAAAAAAAAAAAGGTGAAGACTACGCAACCAACAAAAAAACAAAGTAAACACTATATTATAGGAAAAATATACGAATAAACTTCTAAAAAAAAGGTTACAAAAGGTATACAGAGATATAAAAATAAAATAAGTTTATAGAAAGAAATAATGTAAAAAAATTTATGTTTGAGGGAGAGTTTAAAAGATATGACACAGTTAGAAATATGTAGAGAAACGATTATGAAAAATTAAGAAAATATTTTTAAAGGGTTAAAATCGTAACTCAACAACAGCAAAAAGATGGACAATAGTTACGCTGGATGATTTCGAATATTGAAGGTTATTCCAAATGTAATTAAAATAACAAAACACATTGACATAAAAAATTACACAATTGTAATTTATATCATTAATATTATATTTTTTACATGTATCACTCTGTCAAAAATGTCATATAATCGTTAAATCATTAATCTCGTACATATCTTGAATAACTCGCACACTGTGCGGGGTAAACACTAGTTATATATTAAAAGAGAGTTTTCAATCAGACACATGGCGTAATATTAGATAGGTTAATCCACATGTCAAAAAATTAGATACCCAAGTCCAAATTTCGCAACCACATCACATTATCATTTAATAGTAAATTTTTGTTGTAAAATTGTAAATTTATAAATAAAAACTAAATTAAATGGGAAATTTTTCAAAACCAATCCAGAAATAACCCAAAACAATGAACCCGTCATCAAATGAACACTGACAATCAATAATATATTAAACTAATTTTGTCTAAAGAAAATAGTTTAACTTGGAAGACTATCATGTAAATTGAAAAAAAAAATTAGAAAATTGAATTGATGATACAAATTTCATAAGTTCAGTTTTAAAATTTAAAATTTTCAAAATTAGCCTATTTCTTAGTGACAAGGGAACTATGATTTAAAAGGAAGGACTATAAGTTTATTTTGATTATAAGGAAGATTTAAGTTTATGTTCTTAAAGAAATATGACGTGTGAGTTCATTTAGGCGGGAAATTGCCAGGCTAACTATGTGGGGAATTACTAATTGACTAGATGTAAACCCGTGCGATGCACAGGGCAAATAAAGTTATCGAAAGAATAATTTATCGAGGAATGGAAATAAAAATTTGACTAAATTAAAGATAAATTGTGTTACTTCTTTGTATACTACGATAGTCATTTTGTTACTTGTATCTTTGTCTTCATTGCTTAATAAGACTATCAAACATTTTATCAATGTTGACAATTCTCGAAACTCATCGGTGAAGATACAATCGGGACATGACAAAGAATTCTCCATGAGACTTATTAATCGTCATCATGGAAAATATATATGGCATCAGGAAATTACTTTCTCTTCACTTTAATTGAAAGGTTTTTTTGTCAGGGGGCGAAAAAACATACAAGGAATTTATAGTCTTTCCCTGACATGGTTGCCTAAGAAAACATTAGACTCAATGATATGTTGTCCCAACCTTAAAATCCGAAACCTAGTACCATTTCCACCTCACTAATCAACATGTCTCAACAACATATCCGAAGCATCCTTTTTTAGCTTCAACTTATGCATCGATAGACCAGAAGTTTTATACTATAGAGAAAATAAAGAGAGAACCGTATGTCCTCAATATTCATGCTGCCTTCTAATGGGCAAATACTGTCCAAGAGGTGGTCGTTTAGGATATCGACATCATCATAGCAATTTTAAAGACGACCTCAATTGTCCAAATTATTTAATATCAGAATAAATAAAATTGACAACTACAATAAAAGGATTACTATCAAATTTAATGTCCGTATTTGGATATTTCAATTTTAGCAAATCGTTCGGATCAATAATTTTTCCTTTTCCAACTTTTGGAATCGTTTCTAAAAATTCTCTAACATAATTAATTTCTTCGACTGAAGACCCGTCTAAAGTCTCATATTCATTGTCCATCTAAGAACTTAGCAGTGATTCTATAGATGTGAATATTTTATGGATGCATTGACAATATCTTGCTTGCTATTTTTTTCTTTGAATAGTTTAGGGTTTAGGAGTATATGGAATTACCCCCTTTTGAATGACCAGAATCAGAGTTATACCTTTTTGAATCACCAAAAGAATAGATTACATTGTTGGCCAAAGACTTACAGACAATTATTGGATCATACTAATTGACGTGTGATGTGTGAGTTTATTTAGGCGGAAAATTGCCAGGCTAACTATGTGGGGGATTACTAATTGATTACAATTTTGACCACTAATTAATGGACTGCAAGAAAAAGTAAATAAATAAAACTGGCCGAGCGGTACTATTTTCCGCTTTTTGTGTTTTAGAAAGGTGAAATCTATTTTCTAGAAACAATTGAATTTCGTTGAGTGGGACTTTTCTCCCGCATTTTTCCTTTGTTTTGTTTTCATTTTTTATTCCTCAACTTTTGTTCACATCTTTCAATTTCATGTTCGAAAATTGAAACAAAAATAATTCGTCCAACTCAATTTGCTGACTCTTATGTAGTTCTATAGGTCAGAAGTGTTGTCTTGTAGGATAATCTGATATTAGTGATTGGCCAAGAGACTTGGGCGATTGAAAAAACATTTCTAGTTATAATTTTCTCTTTGGCAACACATTCATGGTTGTCAAAAAAGTTACCCGTTGTTGCACTTTCAACATATGAAGCAGAGTATAGTACTACAACTTCTTGTGCTTGTCAAGCTTTTTGGTTAATCACCTAAATGAGTTAGTTGCATACTCTAGCTACAGAAAGTTTGAAGATTTTTGTTGACAAAAAGTCACCAATCAATTAGGCTAGAAATCCAATTGAGCATGAAAGGAATAAGCACATTAATCTTCATTTTTGCTTTTTAATGATGTGGTTGATCAAGAAAGAATTTTGTACAAGTGAGGATCAGTTGGCAAACTTGTTAACTAAACCATAGTGCAACACAAGTGCGGCAAAGAAACATGCTTGACATCAATTTTGAAAAATCAGGATTAAGGTGAAATGTTGGAATATAATCTTAATTCTTTGGGATTCTT